GCCCGCTGTTCCTCAGCCCCCTCCCCCGCCCGCGTCTGCTGCCCCAGACGCCCCCGTCCAGCCCGGAGCCCGCGCCGGGCCCACCCATCCGCCGACCGAGTCCGTTGCTCCCACTCCGGGGTCCCCGCCCCAAGCGCTGGCCTCGGGGGACCGGCGATGGCTGTCCACCGCCTGCGCAAGGAGCTGCAGGACCTCACCCGGGACCCCCCGCCCCACTGCTCCGCGGGGCCAGTTGGGGACGATATGCTCCACTGGAGAGCCAGCATCATGGGGCCCCCCGGCAGTCCATACCAGGGAGGGGTGTTTTTTCTCACCATCTATTTCCCCCAGGACTATCCCTTCAGACCCCCGGACGTGGCGTTCCTCACCAGAATCTATCACCCTAACATCAGCGGAAACGGCACCATCTGCTTGGATATTCTGAAATCCGAGTGGACGCCGGTGCTGACCATCTCCAAAGTCCTCTTGTCCATATGCTCGCTCTTGTGTGACCCCAACCCCGACGATCCCATGGTCCCCGAAATAGCCCACATCTACAAGAGGGACAGGAAGAAGTTCGGCAAGATAGCTCGGGCGTGGACTCAGCGGTACGCCATGTCGTAGCCTGCAAATGAGCAGCCATCCCACCGCTTAGCAATAAAGACAGATCGCGGCAATTCCGATCTTGCGTTATCTTTTGGTTACTTTCTAACGAGGCGACTTCCGCCATCATGGGCCGTCCGAGTATGTGGAGTGGGTGGAGGGAGTGTGGGGGTTAGGGCTGGGGGTGTGGGAAGGCTGGGGTGTGGGGTCGGTGGGAGGTGAGGAGGGTGGGGTGTGGTTTGGTGGGAGGTGAGGAGGGTGGGGTGTGGTTTGGTGGGAGGTGGGGAGGGTGTGGTGTGAGGTCGGTGGAAGATGGGGGGAGTAAGGGGGTAGGAACAGACTGAACGGGGTGTAAAGCAGAGACCAGCTCTACCCAGTTCTGACTAGAAGAGTTCTTTATTGATTCAGGATTTGGAAAACAGAGTAAGAGGGCCGTGGCTTCAGGGTGAGAGGAGAGCAGTTGCACCCACCAGGGAGATCAGTTTTTAGGTGGAGTCTTGCGAAACTGACAAGAGTCAGGAAAAGCTGGGTGAAGATTATGGACTAGTCAGGTGTCCATTTTGTTCCGAGGAACCGGTATCTTCCAGTGTTTTAATTCTGACGATGAATATTAACCCAAGTCCTCTTTTTTAAGGTCTAGGTTTAATTGGCCCAAAATAAAATGAATGAGGTGCTGTTAACACAGTCAATATGTTCTGTTTGGGGGTTTCTGCATCGCACTTCCAACAATCCCCACTATTTGACACACTCTGCCTCTCTCCTGCCCTCAGGGTTGTATGTATGTGACTTCTCAAAACGTATCTACTAGCTCTAACTCGTTTTGTTTTCTCTAGAACTAAAAATGGCCTGAGATATATACCCAGCTCACAAGCCTATGGGATCAACTGTCCCAGATTGGTGGGGGCTGGCAGGATGACAGGCCTCCAGGGTTAAAAACAAAGGCCTTTATTAGGTCATGACACAGCAGGAGTAGATGCTTCACTGCCAGGTCCCCTTAACCCCCAAGTCCCCTGGGGCAGACTGGAGCTGACTGAGTGTGTGGTACACACACAGAGTGGTCTCGTCACAGCTGAGGAACCCCAAACTTAGGGACCCCTTGTCTCTAAAGGAGGAATAGTACCAAGACTGCCCAACTTTTGCCCCAGAAGGAGACTTTCTTACTAATTTGGTCATGAAACAGACTAAGCTAACCTAGAGGGATTTCTATCTTAGAATCCTGTGGGAGGCTGCGCACCAGTGAATATCTCGGGTTTCTCAGAAAGCAAATAATTACACAATGCCAAAGGCCATGCATGACTGGCTCCCCTTCAAAAACCTCCCCTTCAGAACCATACTCTGATTAATTACTTCCCATAAAGGCCACAATTGGTTCCCTTCAAAATACCTGATCTTTGAAACCATACTCTGATTGGCCACTTCCCATAGCAAATTTGTGAGCTTAGAATCCCTCAGATTTGCATAATCCGGCACCTCATGATTGGTCCACAGAAGCAACCAATCATAACCCACCTTTTACAATCTTTCATTCAACCAATCACTGCCCACCAGCATGTATATAACCACGATGCCTGGCCCATAATTGCCAGACGACCAGGAAGACGACACAGACGACCTTGGAGACCCTGGAGAGTTGTAACACCTACAACCCAGAAGAGCTGTGACACTGCGTCGTCTCCGGATGACCCTGAAGAGTTGTGACACCGTGTTGTCTCCGTGCTGCTCACAGTAGACGACGCGATGCGTCATCTCCGTGCTGTACCGTGCTGCCCACAATAAACGGACGACCCTGAAGACACTGTGTTGTCTCCATGCTGTAACACTAGGCCGCTTGTCCCGGCTCTCACTCCTTCCCTCAGGAATCCTGTTCGACTGTCCCCCTGGGTCGGGACAGAATTCTATCTTTGCTGTTAGCTATACAAACATACTTCAAAAACGTGTTAAAAAGTACATATATAGGGACCTGTGGGTGGCATTGGAGGTTGAGGCAATGGACTCTCACATGGTTGACAATAGTTCAAGTCCTGGACCTGATGGCTTGCTTTCTCACTTTCCCTCTCTCTCTCTGTCTCTCTCTGGTCAAAATGAAAAATGATAATAATAAATAAATAATTCTTTAAAAAATACACATATAGTGGCCAGCAGATGACATAGCAGTTACATTGCTGGACATCCATATGGCCAACCATAACTTGAGTCCCACATCCAGTGGCTTGAAACTCATGCCGGGCACATGTGTATGTGTACCCACGGAGGAAAACAGAAGAGAAGGGATTGCAGTGTGACCATCTCCCCTGAGTCGTAATTTTTTGCTTTCTCTCTCAGTGTCTCTGTCTTTGTCTTTCTTTCTCTCCAGTGAGTGCATGCATTCTAAGGCAAAAACTTCTACCAAAAATAAAATCTATGTATCTGTATATATATCTCCCACGTGAAACTGAAATTTTAATAATCCCTGTTTATCCACTTAAACACAGCTCTCATATTTATTTTCAGTTTTTGTCTACATTCTTATATGGAAAAGAGGATTATTAAAGATCAGTGATGGAATCAGTAGGTGGCATAGTGATTTAGGTACCGGACTCCCACATGCTCGACTGCAGTTCAAATTTTGTACCCAGTGAAACTCCCACCGAACACATGTGCTTGCTTGGGAGCATGCCCAAAATTCCAAGAGGAGAATGGACTGTGGTGTGGCCATTCCCCCTGGAGGGTGCTTTCTCTCACTTTCTCCCTCTCTGTATCTGTCTCTCCATCTCTCTCTCCACTAAGAGTGCATGTGCTTTGGCAAAAAAAAAAAAAAAAAAAAAAGGAAAGAAAAAGATCAGTGAGTATATCTGTAAGAATATTTACATTGTTTAACATTTTTTAAAAATACGCAAAATGATAATCTAGTATAAATAGTGTCACAAGATGTACAGAAATGCTGTGGAGAATTGTACTTGAGCAGTTTTGATTGATTGGATCTCTCTGGCTATAAAGGTAAAAATTAAGTTTTTGAAAATACTTATATGTATTAAAAATCCTAATTGTATCTATAGAATGTACATATTCAGGAATGTCTAATCGGTGTAATAATCAGTGCATTATCTTTAAAAATACTTTGTTTTAATTCTACCCCTTTTAAGGAGTGGTCATAAAGTCCCCCAAATTCATGTATTGATACTACCCTTGCACCTCCCACATCCTCCTTGGTGGCAGTAATCTGTAATCCCTTTAGGAATGTGGTGTCCCTTTTGATTTACTAGTAGTTAGAATCAGTTCTGCAAATTCCACTGGGCCTGCCCCACCACAATAGCCCTCATTCCACAGCCATGGAAACAATGTAGGGATTCTGCCTGTTACTTATTATCAGAATATTTTTTCCGATTCTGCATTCCATAACTGGAGTAATAACCCTAGGATACCTTTAGGTGACCAGCCTCACTGTGCAATGAATCTGAGCTAGAATCCCATCACCTGATCCCATAAACCCCTACTCTAGTGGACCATGATGATGCTTTCAGTCTTACTCAGTGTCAATTTAGAACCAGTGTCCAGTAATCCTTGAAAAGACGCTTATTTCAATTTCTCATTCACTCTATGCAGTGAGTATTCATCCTGATAAAAGGCCATAGGTCCCTTTAGGCAAGGCTGGCAGAATTGATTAGTAATATAAATGTTTGACAAAATACCATAGTCCTTCCTCAAGGGTGTGCAGATTCTCTTTCATTCAAGGACTCCTGAATCTGTAAACTGGCTCAAGTCTGGAATTTGTTGAGGGGTCATGTCTTTCTTTCAAGTTGGATTTTTGTTCACTTGACTTAGTGAACAAAATGTTCTCATTGTCTGCAAGCACACTACTCTGATTCCTGCTTTGACTTGCTATCTATCACGGTAATCATAACCACTTGATCTTTAGTGATTGGCTGCTTCCACTTTGACCACTGCCACCCAGTGATCCAAAATACACTTAAATTTCCCAGTTCATTGGCAGCAGTTGCCCCTGCAATTTCTGACCTAAAGAAAAGAGTCATTACAGAGATTTTCAGGATTGCTGGGGCTTCCTCAGAAATTCTCACAGTTGTGTTGAAAGGCATATTTTCCAGATCCTCCCTGGGTGTGTGAGCAGGGCTCAAATCAAAACTCCATTCTGACATTACTTTCTCCCTAAGTCTTTGAATCCCTTCTTCTACAGTGTACCAAAACAGGTCTGCATTTCAATTTCCTTTAATGGAGGATGCCTTTTGGTCCATGTTACAGGGAATAAAAAATTAAGCTGTACAGTCCTTTCTAACCCCTAAGCTGCTACATTAAATCCAGAATAGCTGTTCAGTGAGCCCTGAAAATTGTTCAGAAAAAGCCTATGTGTGATTTTTTTCAGGCCTGACCATAGGCAATTACAAAGGCTTTATCTGACAAGCCTTGCAGGGTAAATCTACCCTTTCCACACTCTCTTGGGGCACAGCCAACACAGCAGTCTTTGAAAGGAGTTGCAGTCAAGGTCTCAGGACTCCTGGGTGATAATACTCTTTCCATGGTTGTATTCCTAGTCCTGACATCTTCATTCCTAAGTCTCTTTATATGACTTCTTGGACAGAGGTCCCTTTCAAGGTACCTTCGTGTAGACCTCCGTATCAGAAAGAGGAGGGAAAAATTGGAAAGCATTTTTCCCCATGTTGAATCAGTACCCAGTATTCTTCCATTCCTAGTTTTTCCCCTTTCCCTCCCCTCTACTTCCCATTTTTCTGGAGCTCCTCAGTAGTGAGATTACCCCCACATCTCTGCTGGTCCTCCTCATCCCTGTACTGCTCCGTATGAGAAAATGAAAGAGGGAACTCATTGCTTTTTCTGGTTTTAGGTAGGTCAAAGGCACCACCAGCTTTTGTACAGGCCTCTCTGTTTTCAAAATGAACAAGTAGGGGTTAGGCTAATGTATCACTGTCCTGAAGAGAGACTGCAAGATCTATACTAAAGTTAGATATCCATGAAAAAAATATGTGAATAGAAGAAAATTACACTTCTTGAGCTTTTAACATACTGGCTTACAGGTAGGTGTAATGCCTGCAATTACACTTATCTATAATTACAATGC